TGTAGTTGTGAAGGAGGTACCAATGAAATCAAACCATCTAAATAACAAATGAACAAACTCCTATAAAAAATAATCTAAATTAAAATGGTCTCATATATATCACTACATTTTATAATGAATATTTTGGATACTTACTTGATCAATCCACAAGAGGATTTGAGTCACATTTATCAAATCAATGTTAAATGATGCGTAGATGGACATTTAAAACCTCTTGCAATAAAATGATGAATATTAAAATTCGCATACAAAATTTATTATTTTTGTGTAAAGGTGCGCAAAAAAACAATAATTGGGGCATGCTGCAACAAAACCAGACAAAGTGAACATTGGTGTTATCAAGGATTTCAGGGATCAAAATTTAGTGTAGTTGTGATAAGTCCTTGAAAAGATTTTATTTTATGTGTTGTATTGCATTAAAAAGTAAAAATAATTTTTTTTTGTAAATAAAATAAAATTTATGTTTCGAAAAATGAATCTTGAAGATACCATTCTGTGAGTAATGAGGGTTCATTTGTTAGTTATAATGCATTGGCATATGAAGGAGGAAATTATAATGAAATTGTAAGATCAATATTATAAAAATGAAATTTGTACAAAAAAACCAAGAGATGGCCAAAAGCCAGTAAAATTGTCAGTGGCCTATCAACAATTGTTAATTAATTGGCTTGTAGACCTGACCTTACATTAGATAATTATATATTAAAACCAACAGAAGTATGTAGTACTGTACAAATATGCATTAGTATTAGCATACAAACTTTAATTATAGGAATCAGATAGGGTTGTTAATGGTAGTGTTTCTGATCATTAACCCCCTTTTCAAATAATCAAATGTCTAAAAAGAATTTTGAATATTCGAAATACATCAGATGATTTTTGGTAATGGATGGTATTTCGAATAATCATAAGTATTTTGAATAATCATAAGTATTTTGAATAACCATAAGTATTTCAAATAACCATAAGTATTTTGAATAGCCATAAGTATTTTGAATGATTATAAGTATTTCGAATAGTTGTAAATGTTTCAAATAACCATAAGTATTTTGAATAGTCATAAGTATTTCAAATAATCATAAGTATTTTGAATAGTCATAAGTATTTCAAATAATCATAAGTATTTTGAATAGTCATAAGTCTTTCGAATAACCATAAGTATTTCAAATAGTTGTAAATGTTTCAAATAGTCATAAGTATTTCAAATAGTCATAAGTGTTTTGAATAGTCATAAGTATTTCAAATAACCATAAGTATTTTGAATATTTCAAATAGTCATAAAATATTTCAAATAACTAAAATATTGTAAATGTTTCAACTAAAATTTATTATTTAATTGACAAAATTTGATTATTATTTTTTTAAAAAAATATAACCCCTAAACAATCAAAATTCAACATTTAAAACCAACCACCAACAAAAACACCTTGAATGAAAATAATCTTCAAACAGACACTTCCTCTAAATGCTCTAAAACATTACCTTTTGATTTCCCAAAAAAACTAATCATGATATAAATTTCATGTTTCTTTTCAAAAACATCATTTTTCCAACACGGTCTGGTTTCAAATTAGTCCTTTTTGATGTTATACAATTCCCAACATCACTGAACAACCGTTCTGATGGAGTTGAGGTAGCAGGAACACAAAAATATTTTTTTGCCAACAATGATAATGTTGGAAAACTTTTTTCATTATCTTTCCACCAATCTAATGGATTTATATCATTTTTAACTTTAGTAGCCAAGTAACATGTTATTTCATCATTATTATCATCGTTTTCATCATCTGCTGGTAATATTTGACTAAAAATTGATGATCCAAATGCATCATTGTTTCTCAAATCAATTAATGATTCAGAATCTTCACAAGCTTCATTTTGCAAATTATTACTACATGATATTTCATACTCCTCCTTTAAATTAAATATAGTGGTTTTTACATCTTTTTCTTCAAAAATAGATAGTTTTTTAAGCCTCGGATCAAGTATTGTGGCAACCATTGACAAATCAGAAGGTGCATCCCAATATTTTTTTAAATAAATCAACAATGCTTCTATAATAAGATCCTTCAATCCATCTGTTTCTATAGAACTAGAAATGTTTATTTTTTTTTTGGTATTTGAGTCAAGAATTAATATTTCATCAGCCTCTTCATCTTCTAAAATGTCTTGAATATTAAATACATCCTCTTGTTCATCCAATTGCAATTGTTCACTACTATCTTCAAATTCATTATCTATTGAGAGATGGGATGATTCTGGTAACATTTCTTGGAGTTTTTTAATTAGTGTATATATTGATGGATAAATTAAGGAAAAGGTAATGTATGTGGCCCCACTTAATTTTCTAGTAATTTCTTCAAAATCTTTCAAAACAACTACCAGATCATTCATCAAAATCCATTCTGATTCACTCAACAAAATTCTTTCCAATTTATTTGCTTCTTTCCTTACTTCTTTATTTTGATCTGACTGATATCTGCTAGGTAAATGAGTTATTGCATCTTTGAGAAGGATCAATCGTTGCCACGAATAATAGGCAGAGTTCCACCTAGTACAGACATCATTGATTATTTTATAAATTTTTGGGTAATTCAAATTTTCTTGTTCTTTTTCTAATATCTCACATCATTTAGGAGATGAAAAAAATTTGGTTAACCTTTTGACTCTTAAAATGAATTTTTGGATAGCTGTATTAATTTTCAATGATTTCCTAACTACTAGATTCAAGGTGTGTGCATTGCATGAAACACGCTTGAGATCAAAAAAAACTCTTTGTAAAAGCCTGACTGCTTTAATAAAATTGGAACCACTGTCTGTGGTTATACAGACAATCTTTTCTTCTAACTTCCATGAAAAAATTATCTCTCGTAATTTCTGACAAATAACTTCGGATGTATGTGGATATGGGATGTGAACCAATGACAACAAAGCTTCCTGTGGTTGATATTCATTAGAAATCCAATGACAAGTTACTCCCAAATATCCATGTTTGCCACGAGAAGTCCAAAAATCACTTGTCAGCGATATATATTTGGATTCTCTCTCCATTATTTCAATTAATAAATTTTGAATATTTTGATAATTATACTCTAACATCTCATCAATTTTTTCTTGAGTAGGTAGATTGTAGCTAGGATTTAATGATTGAACAAAGCTTTGAAAACTATTACTTTTAAGTATATAAAAAGGTTGCACATTGTCTATAATAAATTCTAATAATTTTTTATTGATATTATTTTTTTCTTTTTTTGTAATAGTTTTTTGCTTTGAAAAATCACGAATATCTGTTTGTTTTTTTAATTCTAACTATAAATTTTGAATATAATTAATTATAAATATTGAATATGCTAATTTAAATTATTTAATTACAAAATAATTTTACCTTTTCTTTCTCATTTGGTTGAAGAATGCCATGTGCATGTAATAAGTGGGAGATACAATTACTAGTTGAATTATTATTTTTTATTTTTTTATTGCATAACCCATCTGGATTTTCAGAAGATACATTCACCTTTATCTTACAGATTCTATAATCACCATGATCCTCAATATAACTCCAAACAAAGCTATCCTTTGGTCTACCTTTACTTACTTCAAATTTTCTTTTTTTATTTGAAGAAGTATTAGCTGAATTATCATCACCGTCATCAATTGTTATTGTACTGTTACTAGTTGCCATTTGTCAAGAAAGATTTCAAATTGAAAGAATGAAAATTTAAATGATATATATTCGTGTGAATAATTTTATTGCAAGGTGTTACAAAATATTTCAAATGGTAATTTCAAATTAAATATTCTGACAATAGTAATTGAATAATCACAAGTGTTTTGAATAATCACAAGTATTTCAAATAGCCATAAGTATTTCAAATAGTCGTAAATATTTCAAATAGTAATAAGTATTTCAAATAATCATAAGTATTTTGAATAGTCATAAATCTTTCGAATAACCATAAGTATTTCAAATAGTTGTAAATGTTTCAAATAGTCATAAGCATTTCAAATAGTCATAAGTGTTTCGAATAACCATAAGTATTTCAAATAACCATAGTATTTCAAATAACCATAAGTATTTAGAATAACCATAAATATTTTGAATAGTCATAAGTTTTTCGAATAGTCATAAGCATTTCAGATATTCGAATAATTATTCAAATATCAAGTGATAATAATTATGAATATTCAAATATCACTTTTATTTTTGATCAGAAGCCCTAGTTAATGGAACATAATGGGTTGGTTGGGTTGGGTTCATATTATAGTGGAGCAAGGGTTAACCTAACCCAAACCAGGTTAAATGTACTGGTTAATACTCCATGGGAGTAATAATTATAATTATAATTCTCATTTAAAGGAAAGTAAAAAAAAATTACACCAATTTTTAAATTAAAATAATTTTAAAACTTGCATAATAATATCAATATAATTATATATTTTGGTTCCAAATTTAATTTCCTTTTTATTAAATGTTTAAAAAATTAAAATTGAATAATAATTGTAAAAGTTTTAATAAGAAAAAAATTTTACTTGAATTAAATTTTCAAAAAAAAAACTTAGTTTTACCACCCTTCCCCCTACAAAAAATAGGTCTTTATATAATTCTCACCTGATGGTTCAGGCTCACTATCTGAAAGTATTTCATATAAATTTTTATTCATAATAAAAATTTGCAAACAAAGAAATCAAAATTATTAATTGATTAATAATCAAATTACTAAAATAATTTGGGCTGATGCCAGAACATCATGCTCACCCTAGAATTGGATCAATGAAATACTTATTACTATTTGAAATATTTACGACTATTTGAAATACTTATGGCTATTTGAAATACTTGTGATTATTCAAAACACTTGTGATTATTCAATTACTATTGTCAGAATATTTAATTTGAAATTACCATTTGAAATATTTTGTAGCACCTTGCAATAAAATTATTCACATGAATATATATCATTTAAATTTTCATTCTTTCAATTTGAAATCTTTCTTGACAAATGGCAACTAGTAACAGTACAATAACAATTGATGACGGTGATGATAATTCAGCTAATACTTCTTCAAATAAAAAAAGAAAATTTGAAGTAAGTAAAGGTAGACCAAAGGATAGCTTTGTTTGGAGTTATATTGAGGATCATGGTGATTATAGAATCTGTAAGATAAAGGTGAATGCATCTTCTGAAAATCCAGATGGGTTATGCAATAAAAAAATAAAAAATAATAATTCAACTAGTAATTGTTATACATGCTATGGTAATTATTTTGCCAAAAACGTAATACGTAATACGTAATTACGAAATTAATTACGAAATTAATTACGGGTGACGAAATTAATTACGGGTGACGAAATTAATTACGGGCGACGAAATCAATTACGCGTGACGAAATCAATTACGGGTGA